TCAACTGGTACCACATATCCATTTAACATCATTATGTTTACTTCGCACACTGCCCTCAATTTCTGCTTAATTTTGTGCGAATCAGTCTCGCTTTATAGTTCTATAACAGAAAAGGAAAATGATATGAGTTGTTTATAATCTGTGTCATAGCTTGCTCTAACTTTTGTATGCAGCAGCCTGAGTTCTTGGCGATTTACTCTTTGTATCATTTAAACATCTGTGTGTTGGAGCTTTCCTCATTACTCCTGGTTTAATGTGATATATACCCTTTCAAAAGGCCACACTCCCTCCATCCATCATCTGCAGCCAAGGTTGTTCAACCCATTCTGATTACAGCAGTCAAGCTTTTACTCAGAAGACAGAAAAGTGCAACATTTGACTGATTGGACAATGCAGCTCACAAACATTTACTAAATGTTTGTTATTTCCTGCCACACAGTGAAGTCTGACAAAAATAATCCATCACTCGGGACAGTCGCATTCATTTCTGCATGGCTCATTTGTGCTTTTGATGCTCACGCTGCATCAGGATGTAACCCATCATAAAAAAGTTTTAAATGAATAGAGTGCTCTCCAAAACAGGCAGAAGGGTTTTTTTGAAGAACATTTTTCCCGTTACTTTCTTCTCACATGAGCGTGATTATGTGAGTAAATTGGGAGCAGCGCCAAGCAGAAATTGGCACCACACTCTGGTACCCTCCAAGAGAAATTTCAAAGTAATCACAGTCTATCTGTTATAATTACAGCTGTGATATCTGTCTGTGACTTCATAAATGTCTCTTTAGAAATTCATTGCAATGTAGATTTGCAAGGAAAGAGCGAAAAAAATCTATCTTCAGCAGTTCTTGGCTTAATAACTAAGTTTTACATTTTTTTCAAACATCAAAAACATTGAACGGCTTTAAAAAGGAAACAGCCTTAATTTAGCAAAATGGCAAACTAGGTTATTTCTCTGTAGGCGGGATGTCTTTTTTCATGTTTATCTGTTCTTTTTTTTATCTATGTCATGATAATATTAATACAAGTCCAATCATAAATTAAATATCTGTGTTTTATACTTAATCTAACTGTCAGGAAAACTGTAACAAAAAAAAGTTTTTTTTTTTTTTTTTTAAAAAAGCCTTCAAATTGAAAATGTCAAAATGCTGCTCTGCTTCCTGAAGCTGATTGGTTTGTCATAAACAGAAAGTAAAAGATAAAGTAAATTAAAGTAATATTGATTTTGTGAAGTTATGGAAAAATATATTAATGTGGGGTGGACAGCAATTGAACAAGAAAAAGCATCCATTTTCTTCCGCTTATCCGGGGCCGGGTCACAGTTGCAGCAGCCTAAGCAGCCTCCTCCAGCTTGTTTTGGGGACCCAGGCCAGCCGAGAGATATAATCTCTTCAGTGTGTCCTGGGTCTGCTCTGGTGCCTCCTCCAGGTGGGACATGCCCAGAACACCTGACCCAGGAGGTGCCCAGGAGGTATCCTTGTCAGATGCCTTGACCATCTCAACTGGCTCCTTTCGATGTGAAGGAGCAGCGGCTCTACTCTGAGCCCTTCCCGGATGGCCATACTTCTCACCCTATCTCTAAGGGAGAGGCCAGCCACCCTTCGGAGGAAGCCCATTTCCGCCGCTGGTATCCGCGATTTCGTTCTTTCGGTCACTATAGGTGAGGGTAGGGATGTAGATCGACTGGTAAATTCATTCAAAAAGGCATGCATGTTGCTGTTGATGTTAACCCCACAACTGCCACTGCTTTTAAAGAAAACAATGAAGGAGCATCCACTGCAGTTTAATCTCTCTGATTAGATAGTTTCCACAATAAAAGAAGAACAACATAACAGCAAAATCAAATCAACAACAGCTAACAAAACAGCTGTCAGGTATTGTTGGATAGATTTTATAGTAACACCTTTTTCAACATTTAGCTTGTTGAGTTGTCAGTGGATTTTATAAGCAGTTCTCTTAAAAAATCCCAACACAAAATGAAATGTAACTAAGATTATCATCTAAATTTTACAAAATCTGATTGGTAGGTGGAAAGAAATAATAATAATTTTCATGAAGTCCCAGAACATTTAATGTGAGCAGCACCAGCATAGATACTGAAGTTGGTTGAAGTAACTGTTGCCACCCTCGTGTTATATCTTTTGGGCCTTTAAACATCAATACAGATTAGGAATCCCTGAGCTCAGCACTCACTTCTAAGCGCTTCTTTCCTGTATAGTGACCCTGTGTTTTGATCTTCGGCTACCTTAGTCGCATGGAGTTAGGCCACGGGTTCTCTTATCCTGTTTGTTATGACAGCAGGGTAGCAATGGTCAGAGTACAACTTGAAGCCTTGCCTGAAAGTCTGCACGTAGCAGTGCTTTTATCAAAGTTAGCAGACTTTTTTCTCCCTGTTGGAGATACTGAAATAAAAAACCTTCCACCTGAGCTCAGTGGGTACACAGCATATGTTGCAACAGTACCCTATAGGTTTGAGAGCGTGAACCCGCAGACACACTTTTCTATTGATACTTTGAACAAAAGACTGAGTCAATATATGGTGAATGAGTGCGTATAAGCAAAGTTTTTTATTTGTTGTTCACCCATGTGTGCAGTCAGCTTTTCAGTCATTTCCTGTGCCATGCTTTAGTTTACGAGCCGTGAATGTTGTGTATTGTAGGCTTTGGGCTTTTTATGTCAGAGCACAAGCCTGTGAGGAGCCTCAGAAGTTATTTAGTTTTATCTCTTTGGTTTCTTTGGTGATTAACTTCACATTTGTGAGGCTTTTTCAAAGCAGTAAATAGTGTCTTGGGTCAAAACCACACTGATAAGAAAAACTTTGTGCTATCAGTTAGACTGATATTGGCAGTCGACATTTGTATTTCAGTTTTGGCAGTTGCCATCATGTTGATGAGGGGGAAAAAAAGAAATAGTGGATTACAAATTTTACATACTGCATTTGTATGTGCTTTAGTGACTTGATTGATATATTTCTTTATTCTTACTGCTTTTTACACTTCTATACAAGGTGACCGTGAGTACTTTGAAAGGTGCCTAAAATAAAATGCATGATTATTATCACTTTATGTTTTGTTATGACTTGGTTCTTAATCAAAACAAATATATTGGGTAGCAAAATTAAAATGCATTATAGCAAAACTCCAAGGAGATCTTTTTACACGAATGATGCCACGCGAAGTTCTCTTCTCACAACACAGTGTTCTCAGCCAGTACTTTTTTGCCACATGCTAGACAAACAAAGCACACAAGAGGCTACATTTGATTCACTGAGGCTCACTCTGTTGAGAAAAGTGTGTAAGTGCAACTAACGTAAACAGTACTATGTGTGAAGGACGCTTCATGTGGAAATTTATCATCCTTGAACTTTATGGTAACAGAATAACTTTGTGTGAAGTCAAAGCACTGCCAAATGGAATCCCAGTACAAAGAGCTGTGCCTCGGGCAAATGTTGCACACAAATACTTGGAAAATGCATGCAGGGTGCAAGGTTGGTCTTTATTGATTGAACATCTGTATCCTTTAGTTGGTTGCGTCTCACTCCGCTTCAGTTTATCGTGCTGTCTTTGACATACGGTATCTATTTTTCCTCTCGTGATGTCCTTGCTGTGTTTTCACATGGAAGTCGATGAAGTATCTGCAGCATATAGGCTGTATGGAGGAGAGAGGTGGTAAGATGGTTCTACTTTATAGTATTATTCATTTTTCTTTCTTGAATTATTATCGTCTGTCAAGTGCAATCCTACACAAATATGTTCATACATATTCTAGTAAATAACAAGTATTAATGTACAGTAAATGCATCACATAAGCTACACTTGACGTGAAAATAATTTGAAGGAAATGACAGAGAGGAAGAATCTGAAGACGTAACAAAGGCTCAGAGTCTTTTCTTTAGGCTCATCTCACTTTGTTTTCTTTTTGAATATAGAAAACATCCATTATTGTTTCTTTTACTGCCTTGTACCTTGCCATTTTGATGTATATCTCTGTAATGATAGGGTTATTAAAGAAAACAGCTGGAAGCTGCGTAGTTGGAGCACATTTTTATCCCATGTGGCAGTCGTGGTTTCAGTTGATAGCAGATTTTTCTCTGGATGTTATTTCTAAAGAAATTCTTGTGAATTCATTCATTCCTTTGTTTCTCACTCTTTCTCTGAGCTGCACCTTAATTCAGGCTGCGTCAGCATGGTCGAGAGGTTTTGAACACTGTCATAGCACACAACATAATAACGTAAATGCAATGCACTACTCTTTCTTTCACTATTTCTCTGTCTTTGCTGTTTCTGTCTCTTCGTGTAATTTATTCAACTCAGTTTTAGGCAGAAGATCTATCTGTATGATGTCACTGTATCTCTAATATGCAAACGTGGTCAACTCTTTTACCTTAGAAGAAGTGATGCCATAATGACTACTTTAAGCCATGTTTTTCCACTCCTAATTGTTTATTCTATAATGTTGCTGTGACGTTTTGGATCAACTGAAGGCTTTTCAAGGAGTTTTATAGCATGAAGTTTCCATATATCACATTGCTAAGTGTAGCAACAGTTCAAATCAAAGCAATTCAATTTGCCATTATGTAAAAAGGCCAGAATACAGAGAAAATACTAAAGAACCTGTAATAAGTGATTATGACATATTTTAGCTGCATAAATGATTGAAAGTCACGTGAACCTTTCTTTTAAATAAAGATTACTTTTACATGTAGTGTTAATCAACAAAATATAATCTGTCTATACTCTTCTATATGTGCTTTTTTCTTTCTCTTTGCTAAGCTGCTGTCTTCTTCTTTGCTGGTGCATTTCTGCATATCTTGGCACATTATTTTCATCTGTTAATCGGTGTGAACCAGTGAGCACGTCTGCTTCAGAACTACAAGCTGTTTGCTATAAGTCTAAAATTGCGCAAATCTTGTTTTCATTTGTTTTCAGGTAATCTTATTTTCTCTTATCACTTAGAAACCCTAATCTAGTGGATATTAATAATAATCACTTCTCATTTTCCAGGGAGTTTGGAAGATGGAAGGTGAACAACTTGGCGGTGGAAAGGAGAGATTTTCTGGAGTCTCCGTTACCTCTTACTCCTGAGTTCATCAGGAACATCCGACTCTTGGGCCGCAGGCCCACCACCCAGATGATCACTGACAGCCTGATCAGGAAGTATGGGACTCACTTCCTGTTGTCAGCTACCCTGGGAGGTAACAATTATTAACCATCCTCTATCGATTGTTTTACCATTCACTGTTGTTTCCTTGGGCAGTTCAGGACCACCATGTAGCTGCTGTTTTTAGATTAGATCACACTTTGGAAGAACTGTTGAAACTATGTGTATGTGCACATTTCCATTTTTGCCATGAACTTCAGACAAAATAAGAAATAAAATTGAAGTTGAAGGGTCAAAATGACACACTGGAGCAAAACAGATTTAACAGATGAAATTACAGTTTTTGGTAAGCGTTCTTCTATGAAATCTGTTGCTGGCAGATCTTATCAGCAGTAACTACCTATTTAGATATTCAGCTAGGCAGTTTTGCTCAACTCACAGCTCTGATCCTGATTTTCATATCTCTGACATGCTTTCAGAGCTAAATAATGAATGATGCAAAAAGACTTTGGTCCCAGGTCAGCACCTGCAAATGACTAACAGAAATAAAAGAGCAATGTTGCTCTTAAACTCCAGCGTAGAACTACTTAGCCCATATATTACAGCTTAGAATAAACAGGGAAATGTGCTTTAAGGAACTAGTTCTCACTCAGGTGATCTGGGGTTAAATAAAGTATGCAATTTGTGGTAAAAGCTTTTAAAATTTGGTTTTCCAGGTGGTCTGTATGGAAAACAGATGGACGGGACATAATAATGCAATACACTCAGAGTAACCGAAAAACACATCACAGTGGAATTATATGCCACTAGCAGCTCAGAAAATTGGTCTCCAGAGATGTATGAATACATGTAAAAGCCTGTGTATCGTGAACCTGCCACTCCCACTCCCAGTCACAGCCACGGTATTTTTGATTTTCTACCGGCTGATGAATGGATAAGCACTAATAGTTCTCTGACTCAAGAGACGAAAAAAAAAAGTCATTTAAGATGCTGGAGAGTCCCGGGCAAGTCTTGAAAAGCACATTTGCTTTTTACAAAACAACACATGTCAATTACTTTAGACGCAACTCCTGGCTTTGAAAAGGTCGCTGTTGTGAGTAGATGCATAAAATGCAACCCTCCCAGCTACCAGAGCTGATGCAGCCCTGCACTCTGGCTCTCAGCCAGGACTGAGTGGTATGAAGAGAGGAGAATGAGGAGTTTGCCTTGGATCTTTGCCAGTGATATGCCTCTGTGGTTCTGAATGGATAGCCTCTGTGTTCGGAAACATATGGACTTAATGAAATTAATAAATAGATTGCAATATTAAGAGCTTGCCCTTCAGCAGCTGAGTAAGAAAGGCAGTGGGCAGAAAATGGCCCTGAAGCATTAGCACTGCATTATGATGAGAAATATGATGTGCAGTGTCTTGGGAACTCTCAGAGCTCCAAGTGTGCTGCATCACAGCTCCTAGACTTATGAAGTCCTGATTGCAGTGATCAGTGCCGTCTGATTCGGGGTGACGTGACTTATCCTAATTATGGTCAAGTGTCTTTATGCTTCAGAGGCGCCTGCTGTCGCTGTGCTCACAATCACCTGGAGTTTGGTGCATGTATCTCTCAGCAGGTTTTAAAGTACCCTATCAATTGAAAGACCATTTGCATCAATGCTAGCTAATAAAGCAATCATGAAAGGAATAGCTGAGGTACAAGATCAGCTCCTAAAGTTTGAATGAAGTAGTTGACCTCAGTGACACTTAATGCATTTAGCTACATATGTGGAAGAGCTTGCACATGATCTTCATCTGTATTTGCAGGCATGCTAGCTTTAGCTTACATGCGCTTGAAGAAAGGCAGCACTGGGTGGATTTTATTCAAACAATCATTTATTCTTGGTGTTTTTGATAATATTTGTCCAGAGTTCTTTACACAGAGGTTATTAGAGGCAACAGAGAGGTTTGGGGAAGGTCTCATTTTGAAGCTCTGCTGCAAAATATTGTGACACTAGAAATAAATGCCTTCGGGAAAAGTTGAATCCTAGAATGTATTTATTTATTTCATGTTCTAAGTGTCTTTTAAAGACCACCTATGTAACATTATGCGGAAAACATCTATAACATTCTAGTTCTATATGCTTCAAATGCTGCTGACATTTTCCCTTTTTCAAAATTTCAAATAATGTCAACTTTAGGTTGTTTAGTGGTGCTGGTTTAGCTCACCTGGTGGATGTGTGTTCTTTCTGTCTGCCGAGCCTGTCCTGTCCTAATGAAGGCTAAAAATCCCCCAAAATACTTTATTGGAAATTTTCTTTTTTCAGTTAATTAAAAAAAATCTATTAACATGCATAATGAGCTTTGGTCAGGTATGACAAAATGCAAGTGAAAAGATCTGAGCTCCACGATAAAGAAAAGCAACAAAAAAAACCCCCAAACAAGTCAGGGTCAGAGCTACTGACCCTGACTTTATGTTAAAAAAAAAATTGAAGGGCCTTAATTTCAATAAGCAATGTGAACTCTCTATTCCCTTTTCTAAAACTCCAAGCGCCATTTGAAAACAATTAAATTTGATTATCTTTTAATTGCAGGAGAAGAGGCCTTAACCATATTTGTGGATAAGCGAAAACTGAGTAAGAAAGCAGAGGTGAGCGATTACTCGGGCAACTCTTCCACTGTGACTCTGGAAGCTCTGCACCAGCTGGCTGCCTCCTACTTCATCGACAGGGAGAGCACTCTGCGCAAGCTGCACCACATCCAGATCGCCTCCACTGCAATCAAGGTATCTTTGTGTGCTTGTTATGAGTTATATAGGGACATATTTAACTTTATACATTATTAAAGCTTCTATCTAGTTCAGTTTTTATCCATCAGTCAAATCACAATGACAGTAAACTGACATTGTTATACTATAATCTAAGGCTAGAACACTTGTGCTCTCAGTAGATCACTCTCTCTCCTTCTCAACTTGGAACATTATTTCACTTCTGCTGCATACTTGGAGCTAAATCAGACTCCTCTTATATATAGTGCCTAAAAATGTATTAGAGCCCCCACCCAATGTAAGATTTATGCCAAAGCTGCACTAAAATAACACACTTGGTAATTACCAAAATAATATTTCTCGTGTCTGTAATGGTTCATCCATTAGCATGAGTAAGTTCTTTAATCAAAATAATATTTCTGATGCTAAAAGACAATTAGTGTTGTTATTCATGAATTTTCAAGTTTTGCAAACAATGAGAAACAATACTAAAGTACATCATCATTTTGTGATAAACCTGTCAAATTACAGTTATTTACTTTCAACAGATAAAAAAAAAATCACCAGTTGAATGACTTTATTTTTTATATGAAATTTGGGTATAAAAATATGAATTCAGTTCAGTGAATTGAGTAATTTTTGTGTTAATACTACGACAGACAGACAGACAGACAAGGATTGTTTTCTCATTGCAAACATCAAACTATGTCCAACAAACCTTCCTTTGTATTGCTTCTGCATTACAAGGTTCATTTTCATGAAAACACAGGTAGAAGTGGGTGGGAATACTGTTGCCATTTAGCACTAGAACCCACTGGAACCACCATGGGGGTCATTTTAACCACCTGCCGCAGCAGTGTCAAAACTGGACATAAAAGGAATTTAAGATTCATTTCATGTGATTGAATTATGTTGCAGTTGCTTTAGACTTTCATGAGGAATGGGAAATGCAGAAATTCAAAACTTCTACTTCAACAAACAAGATAATTAACACATACCAGTGTTTTAATTGTTGTAGCTGATGAGTGTGTAAAACTTTAAAATGAAAATGGGTTTTTAGCAATGAGTGCTAGCTTTTTACTGAATAGACTGAACATGACACACATATTAAAATTCATCAAGAAAGTAACTAATGCTTTCTATTTGTTTGAAGAAGAACACTAAGAGTTGCACCACTGCCACACACTTTCCCATCCACAGCTTCCAGCTCTTCAGCTTTGCTCCTCATGGCTATGATTCCCACACAAATCAACTACACTATATGTTTCCACCCTCTGGGAACTATGCTTGGGTCAACTATAGCTTTGCCCTGAAACTTGACACTGATTCAAAACTCACCAGCAAGACTATCTCTGAATGGCTCAAAAAAAAAACAAAACTAGCCTAATCAAATACCAGAAATAAATCTGAGATGTTTTGACATAAACGTATGTTGTTTTGTAAACAGCCCTCCAATGCAGCTGAATTAAAACAAACACTTTTTCATAGCTCCGTATTATCTATTAATCAAATCAAGCTCTCTTTGGCTCATAGTTTTAAATTGTGTCTAAACAACTACAGTTGCTAGGCAACAAGACAAGACAATTGTTAACATAGGAAATGATTATACACGATAATACATCTAATATGCGCGATAGCAAAAAGTAGTTTTATTCCTGCAATTCTCAAAAAGATAAACAAAAAAACATCTCGTAAATTTTAAAGACCAGTACTAAATGAAAAGCATTAAAAATATATTGCCTAGTTGCATATAACTGTTATTATTCTATAAATGATGAATAAAAGTTTTCCTCTTATGAGCTATCAGAGATCTATAATTTTTAATTTCAACCTTTTAGCTTTTGAAAACGGGTAAAAATGGTTGTGGGTGCAGTACTGTTTCCTTTGTTAACGCTTTCCCTTGTTAAAACACGGCGATAACGCCAATGAAAATAAAGCAGAAGATTATACTTTTTATCCTCCCGCTTGTGATGAGATACGATCTTCAGCTGCAAGCACATCCGAGTCTGGAGGAAGCTCCGTGATGAGCACATATGGTGAGGGAAAGATAAATGAGCCTTGTGAAACACGCCTCACGACAGTTTTCTGCCTCCAGTTGTCACCTTCAGGTAGCATGGGGTTAATAGGGTGACAGAGGGAGGGATGACCCTTCTTTTCTACCTTTTTCATTTCTCGGTACACAGCGGCGGTGGTCCTGTGAAGTGACGCTTTCTTTGCTGTAGCAGAACATGAGTCAGATCCCCCCTACTTATATCAAAGCTCTGTCCTCTCGCTACATTGTGTTCGGGGAGGATTGGATATTTCTTTCTGCAGATCAGGCAGGCACATGTGAGGTGGAGAGGCAGAAACTTTTGTCTGTTTCATTTCTTGGGAATCAGGGCTTTTTTCAGTTTTTTTTTTCTTCTGAAGCTACAGACGCGAAGAGAAGACGAGAGAGTGTTGCTTTCATGCTCCAAAGGCAGTCATCTGGTGTAACTGACAGGTGGGAAGTAGTATGAGGAGACATTCACCTCCAACGCTGGTGGGAAGAGAGTCAAAGGAGCGACAGATTCCTCCACACTTGCGCATCATTTCCACAGGGTGTTGACCCGTACAGTAGCAGAACAGACCTGCATGAATTGAACTTGAGGAATGAATGAGAGGGTTGCAGGTGAGGCAAAGGCCCCCTCCGGCGGTCTCCATGCAAAGAGAAATTTGAAGCTCATTTCGAAGAAAAAGCACTTTGCTGTGGTTTGCCGGGGGGGACGACTTTGGAAATCTGGGCTTTATTCAAGAAGTCACAGTGCAGAGGAGAGTCTGATTGGACCAGCTTGTTTGTACAATGAGTAATGACTGCAGTTGTTAGAGAACAGAGGGGAGCAGTTTTGCTACAATTTGAGAATTTCCTAGACTGAATCAATGGTCAGATCCCCACCTGACTCACACCATATTTGCCAGCCTATCTAAACACAGCGTTGAACAGTGTGCCGGTCACGAAGTAGAAAACAGCAGGATCGTCTGGTTTTGATATTTCCTTCTTGTGGACAGTCAATTTATTGGGCTTTGTGGCTCACATTTGAGTGCGCCCAGTCTTGTGACTCGATCGATTGGTGGCTGAACTATCACAGAGCAGATAGGCAGCTGCTGTGGTCATTTATGATTTCCTTCAAACTAGTTTTTTCTCACAGGATATGTCTAGCATGAAGATACCAAGGAGAAAAATAATAAATCAGTCATAGACATACTGCACACACACAGAGACACAAATTGACACACTCATAAGGGCAGTTGGAGGCAATTGAGAAGGCTGTTTTTTGTTGTTTTTTAGCCCGCACATTTCTGCTGTCTGCAGCGCAGCGGTCATCTCTCTCTCTCTCTCTCTCTCTCTCTCTCTCTTGTTAAGAAAATTTGCATGTATCTCTATTCCTGTTAGGGAATGGAGCAATTTATGAAGAGTAGCTTTAGAAAACAGAATTTCTGAGATAAAGTTTGTAATTTTTTAGGATTTGTCAAAAACTAAACAGGAAGTGAGAATGGACCTGAAATCCATCAGGTTAACAGAAACCGCAACTATGAAACAGAGACATCATTTCATAACAGCCAGTCACTAATGCTAACTTAGTCAGATATTAGCTCAGGTTCATGTCATATGTGTGAGTCAGAGTTTTCACACTTTTATTATAATTATTGCCGATAATTATGTGGTAACTGTCATTTTACATCTTAATCAAAAATAATAATTTGCTTTATTATTTTTCTGCTTTTTTGAAAATAAAACTGACATTTGAAAAATGATGAATAACACCAATAATTATATTTTATGAAAAAGTATGCTTGCGTTTACTAATGGATTAACAATGATAGAAACATACGAAATGATTTTGATTATTACTAATGCCGTTCATTTAGGACAGCTTTGGCACAAACCTTGATCTAAGAAATGTGTTAAGCACTGTGTGTGAGGCGGTCCGTCACCGGTCCACGCTGAGAACACTGAAAATTGGCCAATTCAGTTTCCCGGCTGGTCGATCTCCACCATAAATAGCCCTTAAGTGAGCTAAAAACTGGGAAGTCACAGAGATCGGTTCGATGAAATGACAACACTACAGATTAGATCATGCACGGTTAGTGTTTGTGGCCCATGTCACGGAAAATATATAAAACAAATATCAGGATTTGAAAAGGATACTGCAAAAGCAGCATTTTTTAATGCATCCTGCACAGCCGTGTGCAACTATGTGGCAGAATGTAAGTAGCTACTAGAGGAATCTGAATGCACATGTATTGTTTCCTTTATACTGTTCTGTTTTTCTGGCACACGCCCAAACTCCCACACTCCCTCACTCCTCCACAGACACCTTGCATAAAAGATAAAAAACAAAAATGGAAGGCCTGTTCCTTTTTTACGTTTGCAGAGACGGTGTCTGCAGCATGCTCACACAACACACACACACACACACACACACACACGCTTATCATTACCTCTCGCGTCTCATGTATCTATTGTAATTGACTTTAGTGGAAGCATTCGTGTACCTGTGGGGTGTCAATTTTCCTCATCTTTAAAAGCGTGTGCCAGCCTGGTCAGCCAGACCACTGCACTAAGGTTATAATTTTAGTTCCTCGCTCCCCCAAAGAAGTTTTTGTCAATCACTCCTAAGCTCACACTTCTTGCTGGACGCTTTAAGGCTAAATGAACAGTTTTCTGGGAGGGTTTTGCAGAATGTTTGTGAATACTGCCACTGGACTATAATTTGAGATGGTGAAGAAAATGGCCAGACAAAGACACACATTTTCCACTTTCATCTTCCACATTTGCTTCCATCCCTCATGTAGTCTTGCGCTGAGGTACAGGTGGCCAATAATGTCCTATTAAGTATTTTTAATATACCAGAATGTATCTACAGTGAATAGCAGCTGCTAAGCAAAGCGGAAATTGAATGCTCTGCTCATCACTCAGTGTTTTGCCATATGGCATATCATATGGCATATCAAATAATTCCTTATATGGATTCAATATTCATGGGGTCTGAAAGCCAGCATTGTATCTCATTTCCTCACAGTCATATCGGCATTAAAATCCCTCATAAGGGAAACAAGGGATTTATAATGTGATATAAATATTATAGTCAGAGAATTGCACTCAAATTATCTTCCATTTTCCTTTTCCCATTCACAGAGGATATTTATTCTTCCTTCCGAATCTTTCTTCTGGATTAGGCTTTTGATTAAAGAGCCCCTGAGTTTTCACTTCTCTCCAGCACCGGCCTGATATTAGTTCCCAAGCCCTTCAGCCCTCTGTGATGGCGCTACCGATCGTCTGACCCTTATTGTCTTGCCTCATCCATCTGTCACTTTACACCAACTGTCCTCTGACAAGCCTGACCAGGACAAATCACTGAACAAAATATGGTGTCCCGCAACCACAAAGAGAGAAAAATGAGAAAGTGTTAGGTGCTCCTCACTATGTCATGGAAAGAAAAAAGGAGAGAGCTGAAATAGGATCTTGTCTTGCAAATGAAGTGAAAACAGAGTCTCTGTTGGAGAGGCTTTGTGACAAAGGTCAATCGAAACATCTTCAATCAGTGGCTGGGGTTGGGGAAAAAAAGAAAAAGTAGACTTCTTGCATAGAAATAAGTGCAACAAAGCACTCTTACAGCAATTTAGAGGAATCAAAATGAGCTTAACCTCGTTTCCATTCCTTTCACATTCACTAGTGCAATCGATTATGGAGGAACTACTTTATTTAATCAGAGGCGAGACAGCCATTTATGTTGCATAAGGTACATTTTCTGTGACCTACTATGCCCCATTTGTGCCTGAAATGTAGAAGTACCTTTAAGCATATTTTTCTATAAAGAAATCTAACTTAATCATGCACTTGTCCTAAAATGGATGCAGTTGGGAATTTATAAATGAGCCTTTTATTTGTTGTTGCCCAGGTGACAGAGACCCGCACAGGTCCTCTTGGATGCAGTAACTATGACAACCTTGATTCTGTGAGCTCGGTGCTGGTTCAGAGCCCTGAAAATAAAGTCCAGCTGCAAGGTTTGTTGAATTTCTACCACTTTTATTGTGACTGTCGTGACATTATATATTTTATCTGAAAAGACAGAAATATGGGGATTTCTAGATTGCATTAAGTGTGTTACACACTCTGGCAGCAGACTGACTCTCCAAGGTCTCAGTTTGATGACAAAACTAAACCCAGCTTTGTTTTACAGGCTTGCAAGTGATCCTTCCAGACTACTTGAGAGAGAGTTTTGTACAGGCGGCTCTCAGCTACATAGCCTGCAATGGAGAGGGTGAGTTTGTCTGCAAGGACAGTGACTGCTGGTGCAGCTGTGACCCCAAGTTCCCAGAGTGCAACTGCCCCTACATGGACATTCAAGCCATGGAGGAGAGCCTGGAAAGAGTCACCGAGACATGGGGCATGCTGTATAAGGAATTTGAAGAATCAGGTGAGGAGGGCCTCTTGATAAAAATGCATTATTGGAGCCTTTCACGTCGCAATCCTCATTTAAATTCAGGAAAATCAGACAGTTTGAATATAAATCATTTATACGAGTGAAAGTAGGGATGATTTCAGCTGTTTTATCTGCACCATTAAATCTGAGTGAGAATCCTCTATGTATGTCCCTCCCTATTTGATGATTTATAGGTAAACTATTATAGTTGACTGAGCACTGGGGATCCTGGCATCCTGTCTGGATATAGCAAATTAACAACGCAACATGACCAGATTAGAAAAAAAAAAAAATCAACAGCTTTCGGCTCAGGTAGTTTACAATATGTCTGGAGCAGATTAAGCAGCTATAAAACCCATTTATTCTCCGTCCAGCTTTTCATATCACCAGTGAAACAGAGTTTGAATGGAACCTCTAAGCATAATGTTTGGTTATTATTGCTGTGCTCGGTCACCAAGCCTTGGTGATTATTACTCAGATGAAATCAAAATTGATGGGGGTTTTTTTTTCTTCCAGTCTTGAGATTTGCCTGAAATATCCCTAAGTGCAATTACTTTCAAACTTTATGTTCTAGTAGCTGGCTGTGAAGCTAGGGCAGGAGCGTGCCCAGAATATAGACACCCACAGGTGTCATAAATGTGTCCTTTAGCAGGGGAAAGCGCCGATTTTTAGCTCGCTGCTTTATCAGCAGAAGCAGAAGTCATAAAGGCTGGCTGTGGCACAGGTGGAAGAGCGGGTTGTCCAATAATTGCAGGTTTGGCAGATTGATCCCCAGCCTCTTCATTTGCTGAAGTGTCCTTCAAAAAGACTGAATGCCAAGAGGAGCACGTTGCATGGCAGCTGAGTATATGAAGCGTAACTGACAGGCATTGTAACGAGCTTTAGAACATGCCTAAATAACTATATAAGTGCAGAACATTTACCATCTAAATCCAACCAAGAATAAAGACTCCTAATTCTGAAACAACAGGTGATAAAAGGATACATTATATATCTATTCTTCTATAACTGCTGGCCTTAGATGATCTTAATTCACATAGTATATGTGCAATTTTGCTGATAACGAGACATTTCTTAACACCAATAAGGCTGTTTACATCATAATTGTTTAATTACAATGCTTTCAGCATCAAATAAAAACTGTTTTTGTCGCAATGCTTTTTCAGATTTTGCTTTCTCAAATTTGAGCCATGATCCACAGAGAGAGAAATATATCTTTCTGCTCCAAAGTACACCCAATTTTTTTTTGGGGGGCTTTACTGAAAATGATGAAAGGGTAAGAAGTGACTCTGCAAAGCACCAGCTGCCAGATGCCGTCCCTATTCAGGTACTCCAAAGTCTACATTTGTAGTCAAAACAGACAAGGCCGCCAAAATGTGTCGACATTAAAAGGCTCCTTGTTTGTTTGCCTCAAACTGCGGAACCAATAGATAAATATACTACACGAACTAGCCGCTGCAGGAAGTAAATTATGGCAGGAAGCCATAAAGGTTTTCCTTGTTAGCATCCTACACATTATGGACAGAAAAATCACAGTAAGGTCATGCAGAATTTTTTTCATCCAAGCTGTTAATCTGTGTGAAAGTAAAATCCCACAGCTGATACCATACAGTTTTTAGACTTCTCCCACTTAATGGCAACATATCCTCATATTACAGTTTAGGTAAGGCTAACATACAGCCCTGTTTAATACATAGAACCTATATCCATTTAATATAGTCATGATTCTCTAGTAGAAGTCAGTACTTAGAAGTACATCCAAAAGTAGCTGTTAGCAAACATGGTTTGCAGCATCTACAAATGCAAGTTAAAAAAAAAAAACAGACAAAACTAGCACAGAAGATAAATATACACATATTCCAGAAATTCTGCTAGCAAGATCTCACTCACAGAGTCTGAAGAAAATTACTGCAGTCTGATCAATACAAGTATGAAATTACTTTTGGAAATCGTGGATGTGTATTCATTACACAAAAGAGGACAGAGGAAACTAACTTTAAGCATATGCTTTAAATTTCAGTATCCATGATGGCATAGGGATGCATATAAATGGTAACTGGACCGGTACTAGGATTTTTCTCTTTTAAACATGTTTTGGCCAACAAATTATATATCTCTAAAATAAACAAAACAAAACAAAAAAACAATAAAATGTCACAGGTAAAGACAATATGCACCATCTCATTTTTTTCCCCCATTTCTCACAGTTGTAATAGATGCACGACAGACCGGACCACGTTTCCATGCTCTTCAGCATACTTTTATTCACCAGTTGCTGTTGTCTCACACACACACACACACACACACACACACACACACACACACACACACACAGAGCAGCAGGTTTTCAGCTCTCAGCTGAACTCTTCCACAACAACAACAACAGTACAGGATCTAGTTCAGCCTTTAAGCCGACGAGGCATGAGTGCGGATGCCACTCAGGTGCGTCCGCCTCCCCTGCAGCGGCACCGCAGACCACACCCCGCCACAACAGTCTTGACACAATTTTTTGAAAACAAGAGTGTAAATGAAAAGTTACTTTCAAATACATAATGATTTGATCTACTACTGACCATCTTAGTACAATAAAATATAAATCAGATATTTAGCAGTGTAGCAATGAACTTAGTGAAATGTGTTTTAATGGGTGGCTGTAGCTCAGGTGGCAGAGCAGGTCAGCCACTAATCAGAAGGTCGGTGGTTCGATCCCAGGCTGCCTCCTGGCTGCATGCCAAATATCCTTGGGCAAGATACTAACCCCATGTTTGCCTACTGGTGGTGGTCAGAGGGCCTGTTGGCGCCAGTATCCGGCAGCCTCGCCTCTGTCAGTGCGCCCCAGGGCAGCTGTGGCTACAATGTAGCTTGCTATCGCCTGTGTGTGAATGACTGAATGTAGTGTGAAGCACTTTGGGGTCCTTAGGGACTAGAAAAGCGCTATACAAATGCAGGCCATTTACCATTTAATGTGACTGGTTTTATCTTTCGCTTTATCTCTTGATTTGTTTTTGTACGACACTTTGGGCAAACTTAAAAATTAAATGCACTAAAAATTGAATTCAATTCATTTTTAGTTATCTAGCCCTAATTCACAACAACAGTCATCTCAAGGCACTTTATATATTGTAAAAAAAAAAACAACCCCCAAAAAACAGGATACAATATTAGTGAGAAAACCCCAACAATCAGACAAACCCCTGTGAACAAGCACTTGAGCAGCACAGTGGGAAGGAAAAACTCCCTTTTAACAGGAAGAAACCTCCTGCAGAACCAGGCTCAGGGAGGGGTGGCCATCTGCTGCATTCGGGTGGGGGGTGAGGACACAGAGAACAAGTGAGGGAGACAGGAGAAAATACAAACGATGGTAGAGCGAAGACACAGTTTAATGACATGCATTAATTGTCAAGGAACCAAACCAGATCTGGACTCGTGAGACCATGACAGTAATGGTGTATAATCACATGGGGATGGAAGAGACGGGAGTGTAGCACAAGCAAGCCTGCAGTCTGAGAGCAAAATGCTCTGTTGGGATGATAATAATGCTTAATGTCTTAAAGATATGATGCGGCCTGATGTTTTCTGAAATAAAATTAAATATTAATTTGCATGTATAAGGTTTAATTTTATTATATTTTCCACATTCTCCTTTTATTTCAGTGTATTGCTTGTATTGTGCAATTTATTTAAGTTTTGATTTTGGGAGAAAAGTCTCATGAAGTCTCACGAATATGATACTCTTGGCGTTACAGGGTCACCAAAGGTATTGCAGGATTGTTTCAAAGATCTTTTTAATACATTGTGACTAAAATAACTTAAATACATGGATGGTTTTACTTTTCCCAACAGTGGTGCCTCCTAAATAAATAATTGCACTACATGGAGTACAGTTAACACCTTTACTATGGACTGCTGTGAACACTGGTTAGGTCTTTGATTTTCTGATTTGGCCCATTTCTTTTGTCTGTACACTTGACTAAAATCTTCAATATATACTGAAATAACTTGGTCATGTTTCATGTTGAAGTAGCAGCTTTTGTTGTTCTTTTCATTTTGCTGTCTTTGTCCTTAATAGTTGAGCTGCATGGCTTAAAAAAAAGGGAGGGGCCTGTCAACCACTAGTGTGGGTCTGTTATCATAACCAAAATATTGTGATCATGTGCTGTCCAACAGTCAATGATTGGTTGTGGATGAAATGAGGATTGAGGGATTTAAATTTTGTGTGTTAAGATAAGCCAGCTTCATAGCGGGCTGACTGCATAATTCAGTCATGACAGTTTTGCTCATTGACCTGAACAAAACTGGTTATTATTTCAGTTATATTTTCATATCCCAGTCCTATTGCCAAGATAAATTCTTAATATTTCTACTTACTTAGTAAGACTGCAATAGTGATGATGAGTTATGCCTTTTACCTCTTTCTCCTATGTCTGTTGTTGCAGATGAATTCAAGGCCTTCTATGCAAGGCTGCCCCAAAACTATTTCCTGAACATGTCAACCATACAGCACTTGTGGTCCCTGGATAGCCTGTTCCAGTGGCGATATGAGCAGCTGGAGAACAGCATGCGGGTCCTCTCCAGACGTGCTGAGAGAGTCATCTTCAAACTCTTCAGTCTCAGTAAAAGATGTCACAGACAGCCCCAAGTACGCATACCAAGAGAACGGTGAGCACAACCACAGTAACACGCATTCTCATGCTCACCATTATTATGTTCACATTAAATCTCAATAATTCTGCACAGCTTCAAAATGTTCTCATACCACAACTCTATATACTGTGGCCTTTTACATTAAAGCGGTGTTTTTTGGTGCAGTGTTCTTGTTTGAGGTTTTCCTCATAGAGGTTGCACATCACAAGTTTACCTATAGACTAATCCAGACACATTGATTAAAGTAAACAAACTGCCATTGTAGTTCTGGCATTTAGCCTGCGTACCCTTGCAATTACTTTTTGAATAGGGGGAGATTATGGAATAGATTTTTCTGTGGAATCACTCTTGCACCTGCATTTGCTAAGAATTTTTGTACATCTTGTTGCAGTCATTGAAATGTTGTTTAAACAGATCAGGCATTTTTAAATAGCTTTAATTTTTTATCCAAGGTTTTTACAGCTGCATTTCAAAAGAAAGGAGTTCACATAGCATACATTACTGTAGCATTAAGCTCCTAACTCTGAATCCCCCAGCAATGTTTTTGAATCCAGAGTTTCTTGACTTGTTTCATGTCTGAATGTTGAAAATCTACATAAAAAATGAATAAAAATCCCTAATTTGTCTAAATACAAAGACAGAATTATGAGGAATAAAGCCTTTTGTTAATTAAAACTTAATTAATGAATTGATTAATTAGCAAGTTAAGCTAATTAAGTGACAACATTACACTTACACATCAGTGTTAAATTTGGTTTTAGGCAAATTAAGTAACACATTCCAAGACTTATTAACGCATTTATTATACATAAATGCTTGTGTGGCAATATTTCGTTAAAAATATAACTATCACTACATTTGTTCCAGAATGTTTTCTGATGTGTGACTTCTGTGGTTCAGTTTAACCTACTTGAATTATTGAGTGATGTGCAAAAGGCACCTGCATTTTTTGAAACAATTACAGACACACACACATAGGTGGATAGCTATGACAACCTAGCATCCACCATCTATGTAGAGATGGGCAAGTAAATGTATATTCCTGTATCCAATATTTGCTTTCAGAGTTGTTTGAGAGTTGTCTTATTTTTGGAGGGAAGCACTTTTTTTTAATTACACAATATTTTGTTGTTTTAATTGTCCAGATTTAGTCACCTAGCTCAGAAGAATGCTATAATGTGTGTTGATTTGACTGTCACTAGCTAATATTTGCTGTGGAGATGCTGTTTTTTGTCTCCTTAATATGAGTTACTTTATAGTTGAAGACTTGGAAGGACAAGCACAGGACACACATAATATATATTATGAACTTTTGTATCACAAATACCAAAGTCCTTTTATTCCCTTTAGTTTTTTGAAGCTATGAAGATTTCCCACTTACACAACCACATATTCAGTCATTTAATAGCATGTTATTCCAAGCAGTTTGTAAAAATCTAAAAGTTTGTTAAAAAATTAATCCTTTAATTTAGAAAAATAACGTATTGGCAAACCCTAACATCATGCACCTTAACCATTTGCTGCTGAGACAGGACGGTTTTTATTTCTATGGCTTGAGTGTGACAGTCACGGGGGGCGAGGCACCAAGCGCAGGACACACAGAGGTAGGATAAGATCCAAAATCTAGTCTTCAGTTCAGAAAGCTAGTGAAGGCAGGCAAAAGGTCTCTACAGAGAAAAGTAACAGCAAACACAATTTAATACAAAAGGAAAAAGCACACAGGAAAATATAGATCCACCCAGCGAACACCAGAAGGCTAGAGTACAAGTCATAATGAGGCAGTAACAAGCCACTCAACACTTCTCAAAAAATACAGAGGTGTGTGATTGGCTAATTGGAAACAGGTATGAGCGATATCACAGGGGAGACCAATTAGGGCAGGGCATATAGTCACAGAGGAGGGAAAACTAACACAGGCTGGAAGTTAAACTGATAATGGTGTAAACAGACCAAAAATTACAAAAGGAAACAGAAAGTTACTCAACAGAAACCCAAAATGAGAATAAAAAGGTAATTTGTCAGTAAAACGTACAGATCTGCCCTTGTAAGTGTTTGAGCTTTTTCTTGGAGGAGACAAATCACACACTAGTCTTTTAAGATTGAAAGAAATCCACATTCGTAATGGGTACCTTTTACCTGCCAGAAGAGGCAATTGGAGAAGGTGACGAATCTAGCAATCACTGTCAGTCACACTACGCTCACCTCGATTCAACCGCCACGGTAATGCTGCAGAAATGGCGACATAAATCAACACATAAATCAACTTTCAGATTAATCTATTAGAGTTTGCTCTGTTTAATGTCCAGCCCATGTCTCTGTTGTTCTTTCTTTTCTGTTTCTCAGTGCACCCTCTTCTTAATCAATGTTATTCTCTTCACCACATTGCCAAAACACACATTAATCACTGATCTATGCAGCTGATATTCCCACAAGTTTGCCAGGAAGTGTCATCGCACTCGTCCAGGCACTGTTTATCTACGTTATTATTGGCACATCAACTGTGAAGCCTTCCCTTTCTTTTCTGTCTTCATAGAAATCTCCATACTTAGTAGAAAGAGACTTGGAAAGGGGTGTGCGTCAGCTGGCTTTGGAGAGAAAGGGAAGCTCTTGAAAACCACCCTTAGTCTCTCTTTAACATCCTGTTCGTAGGACTTGCGATAGAAGGGAGATGTGTGATTGATTTTGCTTCCTGCGGGCTAGTTTTCCACTGCGCTGACAATTATGAGCAAATAAGCCAGTGGAAGCAGCAGTCGGCTCAGCTTTTGTTCAGCAGCTAATGATGAGACAGCACAGTACTCTTTGTGCTCAAACTTTGGCCATTATGCATAATGATCCACATTGCCATTCAAGTGATGCTTTTAGTACTTATGCTTTAATCAGGTTAGAAAATACCTTTCTTATGCATAGATCTCTCCCATATAAAGGTGCTGATTTTTCCTTTTCTATGTACACTTTTGAATGTTTCTCTGGTGGAGTCCTCTCCTCTTTGACTTCTTCCAGAGTGTAATTAAGATTTGACTTGAAAAGTGTTGAAAAGCTTTTTAATGACCCTTTCAAGGCATTTGGTAGATTTGACAACTTTGTCTTTAAAATCATAGTGTTTAATGGACATTCATTTGTACAGATAAAAAAAATGGCCCAAGTGCAATTATTGCACTTCATGACTCTGGTGACTTCTTTATGTTCTTCATATTGATTGCTCTTGGTGGCTTGGTCTGTCACTGGCTGACTAATAATATACAGTACCTCTAGCAGAAGATAAATATGATGAAATGTTCTGAAAATAAGTAGCACAGTGCTCCTCTGAGGAGCCTGTACTGCAAATCCAACAATAGAACATTAGCAGTAGAAATAGTATTTCAAGCGCAGTGTTATTATTGTAAAATACCACAGTGATAATAATGGTTTGATTCAGTCTTGGGGTACCTGCAGGACCCAGAGTTTTGTTTTGTTTTGTTTTATGCTACTATTACAATTCACCATTATTTTGTTCTTATGTTTGTTCCCTAAAGACTCAATATATAATTTCCTCCTGCTTTTGTTTTCAGTGCATTTTAAAAAATTTCACTGTACACAACCCAATGTACAGGGATGATCGGTGACATCAGCTAAATCCGCCAAATCCCATGTGTACATCTTGTGCAAATACATACATGGTTTACTGATTTCTTGCTTGCACAAAGTTCTGACCTCAGCTCCATCCAACACCTTTGAGATAAATTGGAACTGAGCTGGTCCTTATCGTCTAAAATCATTATTGAATCTCACTAATGCTCTTATGACTGAAAGGTAGCAAATCCCTGCACCCATGTTCCAAAATCTTCCTTCCTTCCCAGAAGACTAGAAATCTGATTAATGGCAATGGAATCAGAATAATAAGTTAAATTATCAGATATGTATATAATGTGCAAGTCACCATATGTTGCACAGTATTTTACTTGAAGCTTGACTATAATATTTTATGTACTTTATCTATAGAATTAAATGACTCACACAGCTCCGCATTTGCTTGATTGTATTATCAAAGCTCAGTGTTGCTGGCTCCTCGCAGCGCAAAACTCTGTGATTTACAGCAGCGGTTTGGAGAAAGAGTTGTGGGGAGCACGAAGCCTGTACATAATCACACCGGGGAACTAACAGTACAACCGCAGTCTTCTATTGGTGACTGCTTTGCTGTGCTGAAGCTGTCAGAGGTGAAATGCCTTACCCACAGGTAGCGGTTGATGGAAAGGAAGAGTCCTTTCGGTTCATTTCCCATGACCGCATTTTCCATTAGAGGGTTTTGATATTCAAATCAGTGATTTTCCGAGCTCCGGCTTGCTTGCCACTGTCAAGCACACAATAACAGCAGAGTACAGAGGAAAATACCCTAAATGTAATCCAGCAAACATTTTCAGATTAGCATAAAGTTTCCTTTAATGCATCCTCATCAAAGAAGCCTTTTTTCTACAAGTGAAGCCAGCGGTATAGAGTGAGCATTGCATTCATAAAGCAAAGAGGATAAAAGCCATAAAGTCCTACAGAAGGGAATCAAACTCAAGTGCTCATGGGGGAATTATATGTATGTCTGAGATTAAACTCCCCCTACAACTGCTGTGCACTTCCAATATTTATGTCACTAACTCATCAAAGACAGTTTCTCTTGCTCTCTATTCAGGTTCTCACGCTTTACCTTCCAGAACTGCTTGTACCCGCAGTCTTCGCATGCATAACCTACATCATAAAATATTAAAGTGTAGTAAAGCAAACTAATACGAGCGACTCAGGTACTTCTATAAGTATTTTGTTTAAGTGTTAACATGTCTACATATCTACACATTACCAAAGAAAATATAAAAATATCATTATTTTGTGTGCTTTATACTAGAAAACATAGAACAACAAATCTTTTCAGTACAAAGCACAAAAATATCAAACTATTGGGACATGGAGATTTTATAACTAGCCGAGATATTTATTTTGATTCAGTCAACACAGGTAAAGTTTCACAGTGTTGCTGGCTACTGACCAAATGGCATTATGTAAGAATGCTCAGAATGATAATCTCTCTCTGGAACAATGATGGGTTGTAAACTCACGGGCATGTGATTATTGCCTTATTGGTGAATTTTATGCTTTTAAGAGCTTTTATCTACATGCCAAGAAAGTTAATGGTCGTTATACGCCTACTATAAGTGTTAATCTATTGTTAGATCCAGTAGTGTTTGGTCTAACAGTTCTGGATTCTGTACCCTTCAGTACAAAATACCAGTTCTTAGTGTTGTTTGCTCAGGAATGAATTCATGTTCATATTTGTCTTTTTATGTACCATATTTGTGTTACGAAAATTCTGTGTCATCCTCAGGCTGTCAAACAAGCTGGAACTTTCATATTGACCTTAAGAAACCCTTATGAATTGTTCTGTTTTAGTTTACCATCCCATTGGGGAAAATAATGAAAAGGACTGACAAAGAACCGACAGTCCTTTGGTGACACTGGGACGACTGTGTTGTACTCATTTTAGTCAAACAGTAGTTGGTTCCACTTGATCTAGGTTAGAACAAAGTTAAATCAAAATATTCCACAACTTTCAGCCATCTCTTGTGAACCTTTCTTTTGGCTGATGGAGTTTGATCATGTGTCACTATCGCATAACCTAATTAATGAAAAAAAAAGTCTTTGGACATTTTGCTTTTCTAAGTAGTAAATACAAAGTCAGTGACAACAAAGTGTCAACAAGCTCTTGAAATAAAGATTTCGTAAAAAAAATAAACTTTTTGCACAAGTCTTTTGACCTGTAAATGACCTAAATGATCACTAAAATGATGTCAGGTCTTTCTTTCTTTTATTTTTTAACAAGCAAGCTGTCTGCAGACCCAGACAAGTGTCCTGGGCTCAATAAAACACTTCCCTATTAAAATGGCTCATCCTTAAAGCTAGTTCAATAACCAGTCCCTCTTTGCCTTTATCTCTTTGTCTTCTTTTTCCCCCCACCAGGCCTCAGTCCTACTGGCTGAGTCATTTCCAGTCACTCCTATATTGCTCAGAGAACAACCAGCTTGGTGCATTCTCAGAGGAGCTCCACAGCTGCAGCTGCCGATATGAACACAGCTCCTGTCAGCTGCCTCCACCCTGCTCTGTTGGAGAAGGCTTGGCCTGTGCGGCCTGTGCACCAGACAACCAAACCCGCTGTGGGAGCTGCAACCCAGGCTTTGCCCTGACACAAGGGACCTGCAGGCCTATGGTGGCAGACTCTACAGAGAACTATCTGGGGTTCGAGACAGACCTTCAGGATTTGGAGCTGGGCTACCTACTGCAGAGAGCTGACCGCAGGCTTGAGGTAGTTTTCTTTTGGCCTTTGTGTAATCATGTCAGGCTCAGTGAGAGCTGATCTGTCTTTTCCCAGCAGTAGTCTTGGAAAGACACATGTAAAAAATCTCGCCCTCTTGGTGACTGAAACCCTTTAGTTTCACCACTTTTTCTTTTATACCATTTATTGTCCTAACACACAGAAAGTTTGTGGTTTCTTTTTATTTTACTTACTTTTGCTAGAAATGGGAATGAAAAAGTGACCTGGAGGAGTCACTCTAGAACAGGGTCTCAAACTTAAATGTGGGCCACTGCTGGCACTGTCATCTCATGTGAGGGCCGCTTTAGCGTTCAAGTAGTACAAAAATCAAACAAGACAACACCCACAAATATTTCTGAAAATGTAATGTTTTGTTTGTTTTTTAAAACAAGATATTGTATAACAAGTCAAAACTGCAAACATGAACACATTTTTTTCTTCTCACTCTTAACTAACTGAAGCCTTTCATTGACTACCACATAAACAAATTGGTGCTCTCTTTCTGGCCAGACATGTGGCAGCACTTCTGCTATAATTTTGTTCATATTTAACAAAATATAAATGCAGACATAAGTGTACACATTAGTTTTTGGCTGCTAGTGAAAATTGTTTTCTTTACAAATAACTCTCTGACTGAACTAACACAGCCAATCCCTCAACATGTTTGTACTCTCTGCTTCCTACTCTTGCCATCCTATTAATGTTATATTAAACTTAATTTAACATTGCACTCAACAACAAACACATCCTCTATCCCTGAGAAAAAAAGTAACTTCAAGGGCCAAATTGCATTATATTCCCTCATGTCAATATAGGAAGTGGCGTGGGCTGCAGATGGCCCCCGGACCACAAGTTTGAGACCCCTGCTCTAGAAACTACAGTATGATGCCCTTCACGGCCTTCCTTTGTGATGTTGATGTTGTCAAAAAGGATTGCAGACTGACTCTATCCAAAGGCCACGGTATAGTTTTAACCCATCCTTTATGCCCTAATCGGGTTCATTCAGCTCTATTAAATGACAGTGGACAGTGGATTAAATGACAGATTTTGGCATGTGGATGCGTAAAAAACAAACAAACAACATTTTCCAAGATGGTTTCCATAGTGCCAAAAAAAAGTCCATGAAGGATCTTACATTTTGGTCTTAAGATACAGTGAAAACAGAGGACAATTTTCCATCTGAGCATGTCACAATTTCTAATATCTTAATATCATGTGTAAACCATAAATACATTGTGCCTTCTTCAATTCAAACCAGGCTCTTTTGCCTTGTAATATGCCTTTTATAAAGTTGCCTAAAAAGGCAGCTCATAGTTTTTAGAATACTCCACACCTTATTTGGCTATCACTTTAAAAGTAATGCACATAAAGTCATGTTGTTCTCCAATAAATATAGAATTTCTCCAGTAGACATGGAGGTGAAGTGAAAGCCTCGCCTCCACAGATTACCAGAACGTATGAGTAACATTAGTACCATCAAAAATCTGTTTTAATCAAATTTTTATTTTTAGCACTGCATCTTATTTTATTGAAAGTATGTATTTACTTTGTCTGACAGGTCCATGCAATCTTCATCAGCAATGACATGCGACTCAACAGCTGGTTTGATCCATCATGGAGGAAGAGGATGCTGCTGACGCTTAAGAGCAACAAGTATAAGACCAACATGGTCCACATGCTGCTGGGAATATCCCTTCAGATCTGCCTTACAAAGAATAGCACCCTGGAGCCTGCCCTTACACTCTATATCAATCCTTTTGGTGGGAGCCACTCAGAGAGCTGGTACATCACTGTCAACGAGAATAATTTTCCAGACTGGCAGGCCACCAAACTGGACCTGCCCTTTGACTGCTACAACTGGACTCTGACATTGGGCAACAAGTGGAAGACATTCTTTGAAACCATCCACATCTACCTTCGTAGCAGGATAAAGACTCAGGATGGACTGAATGACAGCATTTATTATGAGCCTTTAGAAATGGCAGATCCTGCTCGGAACCTGGGCTACATGAAGATAAACAGTATCCAGGTCTTTGGCTACAGCATGCATTTTGACCCGGAGGCAATCCGTGACTTGATTCTGCAACTGGACTACCCATACACTCAAGGGTCCCAGGACACAGCTATGCTCCAGCTCTTGGAAATACGAGACCGGGTCAACCGGCTGTCCCCTCCCGGTCAACAGAGATTGGACCTGTTTGCCTGCCTTCTCCGGCACAGACTCAAACTGACTGCCAGCGAGGTGGTTCGCATCCATGCTTCCTTACAGGCCTTCAGCTCACGTCTGCCCAATTCAGTGGATTACGAGACCACCAAGCTGTGCAGTTAACAGCTGCTTGAAAGGAAATACAGTCTGTAAATGGCTAGAAGGAGAACTCATGGACATAGGATTTGTGCCCATTGTGATACAGATGCTTATATTTGTGCTCATTGTCTATGGATTACCAGACTCTACAATTAATCAGGAGTTGATTGGCTGTGGACAGCTGAAGAATGTACTGTACTGGTTGTTCTGGTTTTTCTTTTGTGGCAACTACCTTCAGTGCTATAGTATAATGAATGGGAAGGATCAGTAAGGAAATACACAACTCTCCAGAACAAAAACTCTTTACAAAAGATGTCTACAGTAGAAATTCAGATATCGCTTCATAAAGTTGAACCATCCTGTTTCGAAATGACTCTGCTCATTTATACTGTAAGTACCAATGACAAATGATTTATGTTAAAAATGGTACAGTCTGTTTGTTTGTAATTTTTATATGTTCCTTTGCTTTAGTGACAGTGCACTTTCCATGGAAACCAGAATACAGTGGTGTCAGTCAAGATTTTGTAGATAAATTGATATTAAAACATCACGTTATAACACATTCCAGCTGTCAGAAGAATTCTTGGGTCCCTTTCGTATTAAGGAATTGCATCACAGACTTTTTGTAAGCATGGTTCAAATTTTCGGGGGGTGATCAGGATGACAGTCAAGAGTACAGAGTACCATGTATTTAGGGATTTGTACAACCAGTTTGACCAGACAGTTGTTAGTCTGCACCAAGAACCTTAGTCAGTTAAATTAATCATTACTTTTTTCATAATGCACAACACCAGTTAAATGTTGATTTCTATGATATTACAGACAACAGTTGCCATCCATTTAGGCAAATTGTAAGTAAGCAGGTTAAAAAGTACAGCTAATGACAGGCGCACTAACCAGCGCAACTCTGCAGTACTTGGATTACAAAATTAAGTGTTGTTTAGGCTGTTACTTGATATTAAGGAGAATGGAAGAATACATTACAGCAGGTCCTGTCTGAAGTTCAAATCTTACACTGGGCTTCATAAATGACTTTCTATGTCAGCTTTCCAGATAAGGAAACACAGCATGTCTGTGCCATATCTACAAGCAGGTGGGCTGCAGGTGGGCTGTCCTTGTGGTCCACTGTACAAACCATTCAGCAGTCTCAGTAGACTTACCTTTGTTCAGGCTGTTTCTCAGGTGAGTGAGACCTCATTAAACAGAGCGGTTAACCCCAAGAACTCGATTACAGTGCATAACGTCGTCCTACACAAGATGTTAATTTGTAAGGACACAAGGTGGTACTAGCACTGGATATGTCAGTAACACTCAGCAAATTAATTTGACATTGTGTGCAATGTTATGCATGGTGCAATGTGCCACACCTGTGATTTGTTTATATTAGAATGTTATTTACTCTTTCAAGGGGCTCTTAAATATACTTGTAAAAATGTTCCATTTGTCTCAGATATTCTTTCCTCTTTAAAAATAATTCATGCAGGGCATGCTGTGGGGATAACGTTATGTGAATTAAGGGTAGCCCCCTTAGCACCCACAGCTGTGTATTTGGTATAGCCTGTAAAAATAATTTTATAATTCTTTCACCTATATTGTGACCTATAACCTGTAAAATTCAATTGAAAAACAGATTAAAACCTTGAGAGTGTATCAACATGGAGCAATTTGGATTAGGGCAGTGTTATTTATAAAAACATCCCAAATATCTCAAATTTGGGTCATCTTGGTACAGTCCTCAGGTCACCTCATAGATTTTAAGTTGGATTCAGGTCTGTGCAATTGCCAAGTTATTCCAAAACTTGTTCTGGTGGAGCCTTTGGGTTTTTTGGTTAGTTGATGTGTTGATAGGTGAAACATCTCTTTGTCTTAAGTTTTTCAGCAGATTTTGTCTCAGAACTAACTATGACTTGGAACTGTCAGCAAATGTCAGAAAAATCTAACTAATTAAACTAGAACATCTGAAATATATTTGATTTAAATCTGTAACTTTGACTGATTGGTTACATGTCGTAACTAGTGGATTTGAATGGGACTGGTTAATTTTGACAAACACTGACATATCTGCAGTAAGAGGGATATGCAAACACGTTATTATTCAACACCATAAAAGATGATTATAAAACTGAATTATACAAGTTATAGGTAAGATGAAAGAAGTTCTGAAAAGTGTGCAGAAGTGTTATGTCCATTGTAGTAGTTTAAAAAGTAATAATGTAAGAACATATACAGAAAATACAATCTACACACAAACAAAAGAGCTGGCCAGTGGCTCACAGGAAACAACATTTATGCATTAAATTATCTGTTACCTCTGAAAAATTCCCTTTGTGTTTGCTTGTTTGCAAATCATATCTAGTGGATGTTATTGCTACAAAGTACATGCATATTATATAAATACAGTATTACACAACAGCAGCTCTTTACTTTTTTGCCAGCGGCTGTGGGTTGAGACGTTGATTCTGATGATGCACTGATTCTGCTATCTGTGAATTAAATGAGAAACTTAATAATCACCTTTGGCATTTCTAGTACACTTAAGTGCCTGCTTACAACTGAGGACACTTTGGTCAGGGACGTTACTTGAACTAAACAACCCATGATCCACCATTAAAGACTAAAGACTCACTCACTTATAATTAAATAAATACATGCAATATCCATCCATCCATCCATTCGCGTCCGCTTATCCAATTCAGAGTCATGGGAAGGGGCTGGAGCCTATCCCAGCTGCCATAGGTCAAGTGGCAGACTGACAACCGGGACTGGTCGCCAGTCTGTTGCAGGGCTAACACTGAAAGATAGATAGCGATTCACACCTAAGGCCAATTTAGAATCACCACTTAATCTAACCCCACTAATTGCGTGTCTTTGGACTGTGAGAGGAAGCTGCAGTACCAGGAGAGAACCCACAAAGACATGAAAAAAATATGCAAACGCCACATAGACAGGCAAGATGGCGGATTCGAATCCAGGCCCTTCTTGCTAAAACACAACTGAAAATGTAAAAAGAGAGAAAAAAAAAACTGCAATTTTTCTTTCAGCTGTCAATTAGTAGAGATGCAGGCCCTCAATAATTCCCCCAGAGTGTGCTACATGTACTTCAGCACCTGTGATTCCCACTGTTTGGGGTTTAAATGTCTAGGAACACTTGTTAAGCCTTCAATTGTGATTAGAACACCCAAGCTACTTGCCAAGGTGGTTTGTAAATGCTAATGTATTTTTGCCAAAATGAAAGTAGTCAATAATAATAATAATAATACATTTTATTTATAGACGCCTTTCAGACCCTCAAGGTCACCTTACAGTAGCATGTAAACATACCATAAAAAACATAAGAAAAATGTATATATAGCAAACATGGTAGATAAAATTTAGACATAAACAGTCATAAAAGTATAAAAGCAAATATAAAAACTGAGCAAGGTAAAAAAATGCCCTAAGACAGATCAGGTGTATGCAATTCTAAACAGATGGGTTTTGAGTAGTGATTTAAAAGTGGTGAGACAGTGTGATGTCCGGAGAGCAAGTGGAAGTGCATTCCAAAGTCTCGGGGCAGAACAACTAAAGGCTCTGAGTCCCATGGTAGTCAGGCGAGCAGGTGGAACTGACAGAAGGGAAGCTGAAGAAGAGCGGAGTATACGAAGGGGTGAGTATGTATGGAGAAGATCGGATAGATATGGAGGAGCAAAGTTATGAAGCGCTTTGAAAGTGAGAAGCGGGATCTTGAAATTGACACGGAGGTGAATTGGGAGCCAATGGAGCTGTTTAAGAACAGGTGTTATATGTTCAGTGGATCTAGTTCTGGAAATAATACGAGCAGCTGTATTTTGAACCAACTGCAGTTTATGGAGGGATTTATGAGGTAAATCATAGAGAAGAGAATTACAGTAATCCAGACGAGATGTGACAAGAGCATTGACAAGTATGGCGGTACTGTGTGGTGTGAGTGAGGGATGAAGATGGTTAATATTACGGAGATGAAAGTAGGAAGACTGAGTGATATTATTTATATGTGCTGTGAAGGACAGAGTGCTATCGAGGATGACACCAAGACTCTTAACCTGAGGGGAGGGTGTGACAACAGAGTTATCAATGGATAACGAAAGACTGGTTGGAACTGTAGTCAATTTAGATCTGGTGCCTATTAAAATGAATTATGTTTTATTGCCACTAAGTTTAAGAAAGTTATGAGTAAACCAGAGCTTGATTTCACTTAAACAGTCAGAAATGGATGTGGGTGGGAGAGTAGCTGTGGGTTTGGAGGAGAGCTGGGTGTCATCTGCGTAGCAGTGAAACTGGATGTTATGCTTCCTAAAAATATTACCTAGGGGTAGGAGATAGATGATAAAAAGTAAAGGACCCAGGACAGAGCCTTGGGGTACACCGGAATTAACTGGAGTAGATACTGTGAGTGGCCAGAGAGATGACCATCACCTGGGAACCTTAGCGTGACGCATAGTAGCAGGGCTGAACGGTGACATGTGATTTGAGCACCAGAACACAAGAAAGAAAGTAGAAAGCCAAGAGTGTGCCACACATTTATGTCTGTTTATTTATTTCAAGATTTTGAAACCACTTCATTTAACAGAAAACTAAAGCTCAGAGACATGAGAAATGCGCTCCACATCTGATTACATCTGCTGCATTTACTAGCATTATAGTATTATTTCAAACAAATAAGTTAAAAGGTGATACATATAGTTACTTTGTTTTTTAGATTGCTTGCTGTCACTTGTCTAGTAGGGTTTTCCAAGACCATGCTGGATGTGTTCCCTTTTATTTTATTTGTGTAGGTAAATCTGCAGAAGTTAAACAGTACATTTTCTCTGAACAATATTTGGTTGGTTTGGAAGAAAATCCCTTATTTACTTTCTCTTTAAACAACAGTGTGTGTTAAAAAAACACAAAACAAGGGGGAACAGTGTGAAATTGAAATGAAGAGGTTCAAGTTGCAGAAAGGAATTGTGTGTTTAGTCACTCGCAATTTTGTGCACGTAGACCTGCTGAGCTGATTTCCTGAAAAACAGGAGTGGTAGATGCAGAGACGCACAATCAACACTGGAACTCACAGGTGAGTCAAGGGCAGAGGGCCACTGCAGTATTTGACTAAAGCCCGAGGGCCAGATATATAAACAATGCATGTGCCTTTCCATGTGCATAAACTGCTATTTACAAGTGTGATAAAAATGTGCCGGCCGCACATATATTTCAGTACACATATACGCTCGTTAACATAAACAGAAGTTAAAACAGAACAAATGATTTATACTGAGACAGTTATTACTGTGATATTATCCCTATTTTCCTGCTTTTCAACCTACAATTTTTTTACCAGGTTGTGTTGTATCAATTCTTATAAGGTGACTAATTATGGGTCTATATTTTATCTGTATTTTCTGCTGAAATGGAAATGATGATCATTTTTTGGCTAAAGGGAAGAGTAGCAATGATGTGCATATGTGTAAAACAATGACTAAGCTTTATAAAGAGTGGATTTGTAGCTTTGTTTAATCATCCAGTGTCAGGTGCCGGGTTTAGGAACATAAATATTTCAGTGTGTTTGGTGTTTCAGAAATATGTCAATCTCTCTCTCGCCTGTAGAAGATAACATCCCATCAGCAATGGATGTGTGAGTTTAACGTTCCAGTCTCTCCTCCTGTCTCTGTGATTGATATGGATGGATGGGTGGATGGATGGGATGTGAGGTACACTATACCTATGCAGCTGGCTACACCAGCTGTGTAGTGGCCTCCCTCCTGCTTTACACATTTAACTGCAAGCTGAAGCCTTTGTCAACACTTTCAGGCCTCTTAAACAAACAGATATGCTTGTGTGTTGGGCATTGAGCTCTGTCAAATAAGTCTTGAGTGCACAGCGGTGCACTGTTGTCGAACAGATCCAGTGTAGACCCTAACAGAGGATAGCAGATGCTGCTATTGTGATGTTGACATGCTGCTTCCGCTGTGTGGCCGCTTTAGACAAGGTGATGGGACGAAATACCAATTAGCTCAGGCAGCAGACAGCACTTTCTGTTCAACTAAAGTGCATAGCAAAACCATCATTAAAATGGTGCCTGCAAGAAATGCCTGTGTGGGGTTGTGTCAGTGTGTCAGGGCAAAGGGGGAGAAAACAAGAGCTTTACTTTTAACATCAGGGGCCATTTTGTACAGACAGCGCTCAAAAATATTTAAGTACAACCTCAATCTTTTCATGACCTTTAGTGAATTAGAGGTACACTCGTCAAAGTGAAATGTACTCATCATCATCTGCTCTTTTCAGTTCAAAAGAGAATTGCAGAATCCCAGTGCTGCCTGATGAGACAAAGCAAACCACTATGCTGGGTACATTCTGGTCTAAGCAACTAATAGCTGGAATTAAAGGGGTGGCCGCTCTGATACAAAATTAGAACCTGTCTATTTAAACACCGAATGCAATCTTGCTAGTGAGCAAGTGAACTATCCGGCTGGCAGTTTACTGTTGCTCAATGAGAGACTGTCTCTTTAGAGCATGTGTAAATGATGGTAGGAGGCTGTCAACACGACAGCAGCAGGTAGCCATTTGTGTTTTAATCAACAAAAGTTCAGTTAAGCTGGGAACACTCTACCGGAAACAGTCTAAGATTTCACACATTTACTACAACATGTTTTTTTCTACATGGTCTTTGCTAGTATTTTCTCCTCTGTGAGAGAGGAGGACAAACTTATAATAAATCACACCTAAAACGACTGTTAGCAATGACCTGATGTTAAAAAACAAATTCAAATCTATTCAGATCAGTTCATAGATAGATAGATAGATAGATAGATAGATAGATAG